ATTCCTGCGGGGTGCTGGGAAAAGAGTAAGAAAAGAGTAGACCCAGGTGAGTGAGAACATGACCTGCGTGGTAGAGAAGGCAGGCATTGAATTGTGGTAGGACAGTGAGGAACTGGATTGACTGAAGCAAAGGGAAACAAGAAGAAATAAAGTGGTCAGTGTGCACCAGAAAGATGGAGTCACATAGCCCCGAAAGCCAGATAGAAGGGTTCTGAAAGCTAAGTGCTAGTGTCCTTCAGCGGTGGTCTCCAGAAAAACCAGCATGGATCTCTCAGGTACATTGTATGTGAGGCCTATAGGCCCATTCAAATACAGATGCTGATAGCCATGACAAATTGGTGAAGTCCGGCTCCATCCCAAACTGCGTGGCTTCAGCATGCTGACAAGTTGAGGCTTGCTAACATGTGCCTCAGAATACTCTCTGGAAACTGCAGTTTGTGGTCTGGAAAGATAGTTGTTCTCACAGGCAGCTGTTGTGTGTGGGATATGGTTGCGTGGGCATTTGTCCACCTGTGGGAGTTACTAAGATCCTGCTCTTGAGCGTGATGAATTTCAGCTGGTTGGAGGTGGAAGAACAAAGACAAACGATAGCCTCTAACATTTGGATTTTAAAAGCAACTTTCTAGCTTTAATCACAATGATGTTTTAAATTTTTATTTAGATCAACAAGCTCTTCAGTATAATAAAAAAGAAACTTTTTAACACAAAATACTTTGTTGGTAAAGTGGTTGCTTATGTAGTCTTCTTTTGATGAGCACGTTGAGATCTTTTAACTTTTAGAACTTTCCTGCTTTTTTGATATTTTTTCCCTTTCTTTTGCTTTTTCTCTTGCTTGACCTACAAGGAGAAGGGGGCGGGGGGAAACAGGGCAATGTTTATCTTATTGTTTTCTTTCCTTATATTATACTTGGACTCTCCAGACTGTAATCCTTCTTTATCCTCAAAACCAGTTTAAAGTTGCTTCACTCTCAGAAGGGCCCTTTTTAATTCTCTGTACTTCACTCACTTTGAGGAAGAGGCAAGAGCCTTTTAACTCGTCTCTTTTGCCCATTCTCCTGGGTTATTACTACCTTCACTCCAACCTTGCTTACAACCTATCTGTCCCAACTGCAACCTTCTGAGGTTGGTACTAATATCATCTAGTTTTTACATATGGAGAGACTAAGGCTTGGAGAGGGTGACTTGCCCAAAGTTGCATAGCTAGTATATGGCAGAATCACCAGTCTATCAAACTCCAGGAACTAAGCTCCCAACTACATATTCTGTGGCTCTCTGCAAACATAAATCCTTAGTATGTCATACAGGATTCTTCCCACTTTGTCCTGGTCTACTTTTTACCTCAATCCTTTCAGTTCCTCCATACAAACTCCAGACACCTTACTTGAGGCTCCCTGAACACAGCAAGCTCTCTCATGATTCTACTTCTTTTCATGCTGTCCTTACCCTCCTGGTGAACTACTTATCCTTTGAGATCCAAATCAAATGCCACCTGATATGAAGACTTTCTTAACACTTTCTTCCTGCCCCTTCCCTCTGGCAAAGTTAATTACTCCTTCTACAATCTTTATGATTCTTGTACATATTTTTACTATATATTTATCATATTGTACTATAATTAATTGTTAGCATATTTTCTACGGCAGGAAGGTACTATATCTTATTACCTTTCTGTCATATTCAATACATATTTATTGTGTTGAATAAGAAAGATAAGCTCCCTACCCTCATGGAACCCACATTCTAGTGGCAGGGGGGAAATAGACAATTGATACTCTATGCAGGAATACAATTATACCTCAAGGTGATGACATTATTCTAGGAATGAAATAGGAGCACAATAATATGGATGAAAAATTTACCCTACATAAGAACTACATAGATTCTTTGTCTTACAAAGTTAATTTCTAAGAGAAAGAAATTTTTGTTTCTTCTTTTCACCAACCTGTTTCTCCCACTTTTTAATCAATTCTTTCACTTTGGTCGAATCTGGGTTTAGGCATATTTGATCCCCATTCCTCATTGTAGCACTGTCAAGGAAACAGCAACAAGATTTTTTTTTTAACTTTTAATAATTTAAATTCTTCATCTTATCCCCAGAATGCAATTCCCCAATTAGAATGTATTTGTCCCCACTATAAGCATCTGAAACGTCCAGTCTTTTTCCTGTCTTTTCATTCTCTAAGTGAGTGAAGGGATTTAGATAAATTTCTAGGATAGCACATAACCATAAGTTAAAATTTTCCAACAGGTAAATACAATGGGAGAAGCTTATATCTAAAGATGATATTGGTTCTGTTGTGCTGGAAATAGCTATTTATGTTTAACTGAAGAAGCAAAAGAGAAAAGTTGTTAATAAACCTACTTTTTTGCAGAAACTGATAATTAGCATCAATTTTGCTAAATTTTCTAATGGAACTACTTAAAATATAATAAAATGTTATCCTAAGACAAGATTAACAGACTAGTTGAATCTTTTAAATTACTTACAGCAGACTCTCCAGGATTAGTTTAAAGATTTTTTCTTTAGTTTTTCTATATAACTGAGAAAAAGGGTAGCCATTCTACATATCACCCTTGATTTCAGTTTTGAAAGACTTAAGATATACATATCCTTAAACCTAGCAATTCTAATCTCTAGGAGGGTATCGTTAATAGGGAAGAATTAAAGACATAATACTTCCATAACAGTTTGATTTCAATAGCAAAAAATTGGAAATAATCTATGTTTAAGCATTGATTATATAGATTATGGAATAATTGGTCATATGATGAATATAATTTGGACATTGAAAATGACATTATTAGAAACATATGGTTTATTACAGAAGATTTACTGACACGAGGAAATGTTCATGACATAGTGTTAATGAAAAAGCAGTTTACAAAATAGTATATGACATGATTTTATTTTTATGTATATATATTATATTTATAAATATATGTATATATGTTTTGTGTCTATATATGTACATACAAAGCAAACAAGAGAGATCTAGAAGACAATATATCAAGGAGTTAGCAATATTTGTCACTGGAAGGTAGGATTAGAAATAATTTTCTTCTTTTGGGTTATATACATTAAATATTTTCTACAATGAACACGTATTACTTTGATAATATATCATCCTTGGTTCCCAATCTCTACCAGAAATTCTTTTTTTTCTTTTTTTTAAAAAAGAAAAAGTAGACCAGATTTATAGAGAAGCAACAATCTGAATTTTAGATATCTATATGGGCAAGTGTTCCAAGAGTAATAGTCGCACTAAATTTAATGTTTCTGCCAATATGGCACATGCATGTTAGATGAGATTTTACTTACATGATTTCAGTTTTCTCGCAAGAAAGGCTTGGGGCAAATTGTTGAAGGTCCTTTAAGGATTTTAAGTGGATCATTACATCATTGGTGTTGATGCAGGAACAGCGTCCACTCCTCAATATTGGGGCTCCTAAGG